GCACCATAGACCCACTACAAGCACCTCTCCCCCCTAATGCACCTACCACGCACGCACCTGCGGAAACAAACGCCAGGTGTCACCGCGCAGAACCTACCCTGCTCGGGCGCCAAATCCAGCTCTTCAGTCCTGAGCCCACACCCCTCCAGGTATAGAGCCGAGGTTGAAGAGGTGGGAGGTCAGATGGTCTTGGGAAAAGCGTGGACGCTCTGGCATGTTCTCTCTCCGCTCCCTTCCTCAGGCAGGAGGAGATGGGGGACTTTGTAAGCCTGTGTCTGGAGGCCAGAGGACCCCCGTGAGAGCGTGGCCTGTGTCCCTGGAGTTTGGGGAGCACTTGGGGCTGGTGTTTGTCCACCAGCTACAGGCTGCAGGGGAGAAGACGCTGGCTGAGGAGGGGAGGGGAGGAGGGCGCTGAGCTGGGAGCAGCCAGCACCCAGGCGCTCGCTGGGGAGAGGACGCGTGGGCATTTTCCGTGGGTGTGTGAGCATGCAAAGCAGCTGGTTGAGGCTTTTCACAGAAAGGCCACCGGCTGCCATGACCCCCGTGGTGAGTGGGTAAGAGGTGACAGCCCGGAGAGAAAATCCCTCCCTGCCCCCCAGATGGGGCCCCCCCTCCCCCCCGGGATAAGGTTTCCTGAACCCACTGAGCGACCAGAGAGAAAGGACCAGACTTCAGCCTCAGAGCCAGAGGAAACGAGCCAGGAACCGGGTGCAGGGACTGGCCCCGCCCAGCCCACCCCCCACTTCACCTGGAGGAGCCAGAGGAGGCCCAGGCAGTGGCCGCCCAACCCCAACCAGGCCCCATGGGGGGAGGAGACACACCTTCACTTTAAATAAAATATGAAGTTCCTTCCATTGCCCAGGCTGGAAATTTTAATTATGGAAATGAGACTATTCCCGGGACTATAATCGTCTGGGGAGGATTTGTTGTTATATAAGATGAGTGACCAAAGACATTATAGCTGCGTTTTCACCACTCAAAGGTTCCATCCCAGACGCCAGGCAGGGAGGCGTCCGCGGGCAGTTCACAAGGGCAGGCAGAAGCGATGGAGTTCCTGCCTCAGTGCCCGGAGCCTGAGAGCTGCGCTTTCCTCCCGAGGGCTCACCGCTGTGCAGTCAGCTGACGGAAAGATCCAGAATGGCTTTCTGTTTCCAGCCACACTCCCACCAGCATGCACGCTCTGTCCCCCGTGACCTCGGGACATGCAGTCATGCCATTTCTTCACCTAGACCACACACACACACACAGCCAATCTAGAAAGAGGGCTTTAGTGACCACAGCAAACATATGCGTCTTCTCTCCTTTTAGATTTAAGCATGGCATGTGAAAAACACACACCAAAGAAACAGCACATTGAGACCCCAGGTCATGACGTCTTATCTACTAACGTTTTATACTTCTGGCCAGAAAAAGTTGCAGGGTGACCTCAGACTCTCTAGTAGTTTGACATGGAAATGGCAGTGGCCTACAGAACCGGCTGTTTCGTATGTTTTGACCTCATACTGTATCTTTTTGCAAGTCAGTGTATAAAGGAGGAGAATAATTCATGCCCAGGATTGCTATGGAGATTCAGTGCACAACAAATGCCGTTTGGCTACGACCTGTAGCTAAACCCACGGGTTTTCAAACGTCTTTGCTGCAGGTGGATGGGAATGAGGTGCCCCGCAGCCAAAGCTCCTTGCTGTCTGGTGTGTTACTCTGCCCAGGCCTCCCCCCTCCCACCTCCACGCTCTCTTTTATTCTCTCTTTTCACAGGGCTCTTTCTCATTCTCTGAACTCTCACTTTCATAGACCCTTCTCTGAGGAGTGAAAAGCCATCCTCTCTTTCTGAGGGTCTTCTTGTGGTTCTCCTGGTTCGATGGCTGTTCCTTCTGCCCCCAACGCCACGCCTGCCACGGTTGGGTCCCGTTTTCTGTGTGGTTTGTTAGGCTCTGCGTGGCTTTGGCTGGTGTTCGTCTGTAAGAGCTGGAAAGCTGTTTGGAAGCTCATTAGTGAGGCTTGTGTGGAAAAGTGGTGAAGGGGTTTTGCTCTCAGGCTGCTCAGCTTCCTTAGAAGGGAGTCCTCCAGGCTCCTGCCTGGGGCGGTTCCCCGGCACCCAGTGTGGATCTCTGTGTTCAAGATGGAGCCTTTCACTTAAGACCCCTGTAAATAAGGTCTTTTCTCCTATCCTGAGCCATGATAGTGTCTCTCCAGTTCACCTTCCCCCAAGAAAAGCATCCAGGCTTTTGCTGTGATAATGGAGGCTTTCACTGGATGAGGCAGGCAGTGGTGGTGGTGGAGATAATGGTAGTGGATGGTGATGATGGTGGTGATGGTAGTAGTGATGGTGGTGACGATGATGATGATGATGATAATGATAATGATAGTGGTGATGATAGTGGTGGTAATGATGATGATGGTGAGGGTGATGGTGATAGTGGTGGTGGTGGTAGTGGTGATGATGGTTAGGATAGGTAGTGGTGATGGTGGTGATGGTGAGGGTGATGATGGTGGTGATGATGATGATGATGATGATGATAGTGGTGGTAATGATGATGATGGTGAGGGTGACGGTGATAGCAGTGGTGGTGGTAGTGGTGATGATGGTGATGATAGTGGCGGTGGTGGTGGTGATGGTGGTGATGGTGATGATGATGATGGTGGTGGAGGTGATAGTGGTAGTAATGATGATGATGGTGAGGGTGATGATGGTGGTGGTGGTGATGATGGTGGTGATGATGGTGATGGTGATAATGGTGATGATAGTAATGATATGGTAGTGATGGTGATGGTGGTGATAGTGGTGGTGGTGATGACAATGATGGTGATGGTGATGGTGATGATGGTGGTGGTATTTGCCATCTTCTGCTTCTTTAACCATCCTTCTATTTCAGCTCTCTTCCTCACCCACCTCCCAGATGCCTGGTGTCTCCATTTCCCACGATGCTCTGGTATTGTCCAGCGTCTCTCTCTTTGGCTTAGGTTAAACTTTCTCTAGTTGACAAAATTGGTTACTATTCACCCATCCACTTTCCTTTTTCATAAAATTGACATATCTAAGCTCTTTTTATCGTTGTCTTTGCAAACTTACACCTTTTTTTTATTCCTTTGTCATTTAGCGGTGTTTAAGGAAGAAACATAAAAATGACTGAAATAGGTCTCCATTTTAAAATGGAAGTTTCATGCTGCCCCTTCAAAACTCTAGAATTTGCTTCTTCTCATCTTCTTTTCTTCTTTTTCCCTATTTATTTTATTTTGTTTTGAGGAATAGGTTCCATTTGCAGCATAATGAACACTCCGAAATGTGCCAGGAGCCGAGCCTGTCTCTGTCTCACATAAGCTCAGACTCCAGGGGTCTGGATTTCTCAGGGAATAAATGAAGCCTGAGCCACTTCATTTATTTTTCAGGTTTTTTGGAGTATATGTTTTTAAAAATGAAGACATGCTGAAACAAAATTTAGGAAAATTGAAATATATTTTAAACATGTGCATTTACCAAATTCAAGCTGTCAGCACTGAAAAAAATTACAAAGCGATATAATTATGCTATTCACACGATAATTACAGGATTTATTAAAACATTAACTCATAACACACAGGCGGAGTGGTACAGTGATGAGACGCAAGCTTAAAACAGTGTGGTGAATATCTTCTTCGACTTCTAGCAACTCCACTCGGTTAGAGATAACATCGGCTTTGTAATCTTAGGGCTTCCGTGGATACGGTGGCCACAGCATATTCTCCCGTCGTCCATGTGTCCCGGCACCGCCCCCCTATGATGAGATGCACCCTGAAACATCATCTGTTCAGCTTCCAGCAAAGAAAGGGAGAGCAGTGTGGAGTGGTGAGCACACTGGCACCCAGGTGGGCTGGGCTTGCTCAGTCGCACGCCTCATTGCAACACACTCTCTCTGGTCCTGGCACGAGTCGCAGGCCCAGGTCTTGCACATGACATCTCTCTGGAACGGAATGTCCCCTGGGCCCTGGCAGGTAAACAGGAAGGACGTTAACGGGCCGACATGGTTTGCTCCCCTTTAAGATATTCAGGCTACCTGGGCTCAACCCCAGGCAGGCGTGGAATCTTCGCGGGATCCTCCCTATTCAGCCCACCTACCCTAACATGGAAATAAATGGTACACAAAACAGAAAAAATCACCCACCACCCCACGCGTCATCAGCCACGTCAACCATCGTTTTAGCCTTCCTTGATTTCTTCCTACTTATCTATATCGCCATAGGTAGGTACACACACGCACGCATCTTGAAATCAACAGACACTGGATTCAAATCCCATCTCCCGTCTTTACCAGATGCAGGGTCTTGGGTAGGTGACCCCTTCTCTGAGCTCCAGTTTCTCATCTGTACAAAGAGGATGGTAATAGTGTTAACTGTGTAAGATTATTTCAGAAAAAGAAGTGGAACAATGCGTGGGAAATGCCGATCACAGCGCCTGCCACGTAGTAGGTGCTCAATAAACAGGAGCCGAGATGATTGTCGCTGATTCTTTCGTTCAGTGAGCACTCAGTAAGCCGTGCTGAGCCAGATCCAGTAGAGAGCCTGTCTGCCCGAAGTGGCACCCAGGGCCAGCGGAGGGCAGGGGGCATGAGCGGCTGTGCACCAACATGGCGTGTGTTCTGGCAGCGACGAGGCCTGAACTGGCCCGGCCGGGAAAACAGGCAGGAAAGAGCAGAACTTGGTTGAGGCAGGCTGCGCGGGGTCTGGGGAGGTTTCAGGGGGGCAGTCTGGTGTTCTGCCTCATACACCGAGCATCGAATTGCAAGCACTTTGGATGTGGCCGCATAAGCTCCCCACCCTTTGCGCGGCTGCATCCCCATACGGTGCTTCGAGGCGCTGTGCGTTTGCCTCCACCCCCCTGGCATTTGGGTTTGCGGTTACTGGTTGGCGCTAGTCGGACTATTAATGCGCATGCACGTGACAGCCTCCCTTTCAGGAATGATTTCTGTGTGACAAGTCCCAGGTGAAAGGGTAGGGGCCTTTCTTGAATAGCTCTCGCAGCTGCCAAGTGTGGTCAAATGGTTGACATCCTGGTTAGCATCCTACTTCTGTGTTTGTCAGAACGGGTGCAGCTGGCGTCCCCATGCTGTGTTAGTTCCCGTGTGTCTGAGGCATTGTTTGGTGGAGGAGCCTGGATAAAAACGAACACCGAGGACGGGCATAAGGGAAGGAATGCAGGAAAGGCCACAGGGGCGGGGGTGGGAGGTGGACGTGTGCCGAGCCTCCGGACTGGACGTGCTGGGGAGAAGGTGGCTTGCGTGCTGATGACACAGGGTCTTTCTTAATCGCATTGTTTGCTTTTCGCCTCTCTTCCGTGGCTGCCCGAGTGAATAATTAACATCGGAATAATCACCACGGATGGCACGCACCGGGGAAAATGGTCAGCTCCAGCCCTGACCGCCTTTTCGGGAGGGCGGTGACTAGTAAACAGGGACCCTTTGTTCTGCTGAGCCCTTCAAAGGGTTGGGAAAGCAACACAGGACACTATCTGGGCTCCTCCGTTAGCGATGGCGGCTGTTGGGGGTGGTTGTCAGGCTGTTGCCTGTCTACCGTGACCTGAGGGCAGGGCAGGGTGAAGCCCACCCCAGGACAGCGGTGGATTAGGCTTCCAGGAGGCCCTGAGCTGGAGGGCGTGGAAGTGGAGGGGCGGGGGGATGGTGAGGGAAGGCACTCTTTCTTGCCCTGATGGCTTTTTGAACAACATGGTGGTGGGACGGAAGCCAGACAGACATGCGTCTGGTTCCTTCAGGTCAGAGAGGGTCCCGAAAGGAGGGCAAGGTGGAAGCGTGGCTGGATATACCTGTGCCCTCATACTTGTGCCCACAAATCTGTCCCCCGCAGGGACAGGGATACAGGCTGTGCACAGAACAAGGGCATCCAACTCCAACTTCCAGGGCAAATGGGGCTGAAATCCCCAGATAAGATGCCTTTCCTAATATGCCCTTGTGGGGTTTGGCGTGGTGATGGCAATGTGGACGTGGCCCCCCTGCCTTCAGCCCCCATCACTCAACTCTTTGCCCCAGGGCACCACACAGGCACGACCATCGCCTACCTGCCCCGCATCTTCGAGGCGTCTGGGGGGCTCACTCTGAAGCCGCACCGTCCGGTTCGGTAGAATCACGTGCCTAGTACCAGCCGAGACCTGCACGATAGTGTACGTTCCATGCCAGATTGCAGAAATGAGCGCAAATTCGTAGCATGTTTTATATTGATTACAGCTTAAATGTGAATATTTTGAATATATTAAAGAGGTTACTAAAAGTATTTCTACTACTTTCTTTTGCCTTTTTAGTTTTTAATATATTTTTATTGATTTCAGAGAGGAAGGGAAGAGGGAGAGAGAGAGATACATCAGTGATGAAAGAGAACCATTGACCGGCTGCCCCCTGCACGCCCCCAACCTGGGGATCAAGCTCGCAACCCAGGCATGTGCCCTGACTGGGAATCAAGCCATGACCTCCTGGTTCATAGGTTGACGTGTAATCACTGAGTCACAACGGCCGGGCTCTTTTTAAATGTGGCTATGGGGGAAATTCCGATTACATATGTGGCTTCTGTTATATGCATCACCAGTGCTGCCCTAGAAACAAAGCCAACGTTCTGCAGAAACTAGAGGTGGTTTGGTCTGTCTGCAAGGGTGGTGTGTGTGTGTGTGTGTGTGTGTGTGTGTGTGTGTGTTTGTGTGTGTGTGTGTGTTTGTGTCTATGTGTCTGTGGTGGTGTAGGTTTATGAACTTTTATCACAGTGTGTGGCTGAGCATGGAGGGGAGGCAGAGCAGACCCAATTGTAAGACAGTACATTGACTTGATTCCATCGGAGACAGAGGGATTCAGCAGCTCTGAGAGGCAGAGTGGCCGGGTCGGGATGTTTAGAATGGCACCCAGAGGCCCAGTGGAGGAGGGCCTGGCAGGTCTCACAGAAAACAGAAGAGAAGAAGACATCCGACGCTCCTGTAGCCCAAGTTCACACCCAGTGTACTCAGGTTCGGGCTAGCCTAGCGGTTGAGAGTGTGGGTTTTGGGTTGAGCCAGACTGTTTGGTTTGAGTCCTAGCCCTCCCACTGCGTGACCTGGAACAACTTACTTGATTTTGCTGGGCCTCAGTTTGTTCATCTGTCTAATGGGGTCTAGGTCATGTGTAACCTAGATTATGTATTGGGTTATTCAGATGCGTGTGTGTTTATCGGTGCAAAATGCTTTAAACAGTGTCAGGTTGGCTCTGCTTGGTCGCAGGCTCCTCTCTCATTTTGCCAGGAGGATGTGGCCGTGTGACTGGCCTGGCCTGGGCCTGTGCCCAGCCCAGGTGGACCGGCATCTGGGTTTGTTACCCTAAGAAAGGAAGAGACGGCAAAGTGTACCAGCAGCCGCCCTGGCTGCTCCACCCTCCTGGCTCCGAGACCTTGGCCAGGTGACTCAGTGGATCAGAGGCCCCGCCCCCACTCTGCACTGTAAAACCTTCCTAGAGCGATGGTGAGGATGACCGTCCCCGCCCCACCGAAGGGGACCAGCAGATAATTAGAGGCGACACTGCCGTCATCGGGAGGGAAGACCTGGCTTTGGGGTGGGGCCAGACCATGATCTGAATCTGGGAGCTGTCTGCTGTGGGGTCAGGTCAGACCTCAGGCTCTCACATCAGCGCCAGCAGGAAGGGCAGCGGGGCTTCAGCTCAGACCTGCTGGGTGGGCCCGGCCTGGGTCTGTGTAATAAACACTCAGCCTGCAGGATACTTCCTGCCCTCACCCAGCAGTCTTGGTCCAACCTGTTCTTTTGTAGCTGGGGTTTTGTAAGAGTCCAAATTCCAGGCCGGGGCAGGACAAACAAGATCACATGCTAATGAATGGAGAGTCGGCCTGGAATGCAACTTACAGCAGATTGCAGCCGCGGAGTTCAGCACTCCCCGGACAGGTGACAGGGCGGCTGTTCAAGCAGAAAGGGGAGGGTCCCGGCTCGGCAGGGGGTGCTCGGCGTGTTTCTCAGCCCTTCTGTAAGGGGCAGAGACACCTGCTAGCCATGGGGAATTCGCTGCCTCCATCTGCTTTACACAGAAATAAAAGCCGGGGGTCAGACCGCCCGTTTGCCTGCGGCTGGGTGGCTTACAAGAGCCTCACCTGCCGCCACTCCAGTTTCGCAGGCCGGCAAACTGGAGCTCAGAGAGGGGAAGTGACCTGGCCAAGGACACACCGAGAGGAGGCAGCAGGACCAGGATTCGAACGTCTTCCACCAAGCACATGGGGCCAAAGTAGGGTTGCTCCTTCCTTTTGGGTGGGGACACGTGATCTGAATACAATCTGGGGTGAGGCTGAGGGAGGATCCTTGTTCCCATGTGGGTGTCATCGTGGTGGGGAGAGGTTTTTCCTGTGACCTCGTTCAGAATTTTAGAATCTGCCTCCTTGACTCACCCTGCCCCCTCTGTTCCGACCTGGCCCCGCCTTTCCTGCCCGCCTCTGGTGCCCACCTCTGGTGCCCACCTCACTTCTAAAGGGAGTTCCAGGCGGATGGGTCAGTAGCAAGAGCTCTGAGCTCAGCTCCCAGCCTGGCTTCGACCCTGCTGCCTGGCTTTGCACCTCCCTGGCTCTCCCTGGACCTCAGTTTCCTTATCTGGAAGGGGTGTGCAGAGCTCAGAGGACTCTTCTAGTCTGGCCCCTGCCTGCAGCTCCATCACAGAAGAGCTGGGGCCCCCGGGGAGGTCCGGCCGCTCCCTGTACCTCTCCTGTCCTTTGGGGGACATCTACACATCTCCCCAGGCCTCTGGTGGATGGTCCCGGCTGCCCTCTCTGGTAACCTAAGGCAGCGTTCCTGAGAACAGGTGGTGGAGATGAAGACAGAAGCTCTGAAATGAGGCACCACTCCCCCTGTCCCTGTGCCCCCCACGCCACCGTCCTCCCTCGAGGCAGCTGGGGCCCGGCCTGGGGAGGACCAGTTGCCATCCCAGAGTGAGCAAAGCTCGGGGTGGGAAGGTTCCATGAGCTCATGCTCCTCATTTCTCTGGCTGGTTCTTGTTTCTGCTGATTAATGTCCAATGAGCACTGGGAAGCCCAGCTTGGGTTTGGTTCTGCCAGTTTTCTGGAGCCAGTTTTCAGCGATTCCTGGCTTGGCCCCACCCGGGGCCTTCCTGCTTCCCAGGCTGGCTGCCCTGTGGGGAGGGCACCCCGGCACTTCCACCCGGCGGCCGTTCCCACGACAACACTGTGCAGCTGGTCGTCATTTCACAAACGGGAAACTGAGGCTTGGGGCGGTGACGTAACCGGCCCAGGTTCCCAGCGGGGGAGAGGAAAGCTACCTTGCAGAGTTTCAAACACGGGTGCCTTTCAGTAAAACCGCGGGTTCCATGTTCTGCTACTGCGCTTCACTCACTGCCTCGGCATCGCAGCACCCGAATCGGGTGGGAACCAGAGATCAACCGCAGGCCTTGTCTTTCCCATTGGACACCCCACTTCTGTGGCATTCGGGCCATTGCCGAGCTAGCCGGGACCTCGCCTGGCCACGCTAGGGCCCCGCAAAGCCATTTGGGTTTTAATAACAGGGTGAGAAAAGAGTGTGACTGTCCAGCCTTTATTGGCCCCGGAATGCATTTTCCAAAGCCGGAATGAGCTGACACAGGCAGTGTCAGCTGGAAAGACAAGGCCTGGGGTGGGTGGCCCAGAAACACTCGCCTGGGTGCCCAGAGCCCCCACGGATGCAAGCGCTGCTTGGCACAGGCCAGCAGAACAATTGTCGTCGGTGGATGCGCCATGAGAAGTGACCCCACACCGCTCGTGGGGGCGTGCTCAGTGCCTATGGTTCCCGTTCTCATTTTCAGTAAGAAAATTACTTGCCTGACATTCCCTTTAAACCTGTGCAGTAATGATTAGCCAGCCCTGAGGAGACGCCGCTTACCCTTAACCTTGCCTGGACGAGAGCTCAGTGACCCGTTAAGTCTGGGGAGTCACTTGACTCTGGCCGGCGAGGGAGGGAACAAAGCAGATATTCGGTAGAAAAGGGTTATGATCACTCACATTTGCTCATCATCTCACCGTCTTCAAAGCTCAGGGTAAACCTTGAGGTCATGAGCAAGGATTCTCACTTAGGACTCAGCAAACCATGGCCCACCAGCCAAACCTGGTCCTCCCTGTGTTTTTACAAATAAAGTTTGATTGGAGTAGCTCTGTGCCCATTCATGTACACATGGCCAGTGCCTGCCCTGGAGAATGGATGGCCTGCAGAGGCTGACAGAGCCTCTAAATGGCCCTTCACAGCAAGTCGGCTGACTCCAGGCTATAGAATTAAATCGGAGCAGCTTTCGGTGAACAGAGGGGAGGTCCGTCTACCCCAGATTACAGAAGGCGCCGCCGAGCCGAATCTTGCAAGGTAGTGGGCATTCACCAGACAGACAAGAGGAGGAAGGCGCTCCAGGCAGAGAAACCAGCACGTGCCATGACCTGGGAGCCGAAATTGTCTGCATTTTGGGGGGGAACACTGAGTGGATTGGTTTTATAGAGGGACAACATTTTGGTTGGG